TGGCTGCGTCAGGATGGTTTTGCCATTATGACCATGCCTATGTTGTTTCATATTTAATGATTAGGAATTTGTTGGGCACGGCTGTTGCTGTTTGAATGTTACCACTGTAACAATATTGGTGAAGGAGGGCATGTGATATGGAAGAACTATCAGCCTGATGGTAGTCACAGTTATGTTTGATCAGGAGATTTCAGATGTTTTTCACACAGAGCTTCAAACATAAGTTGAGTGAAATTCTAGATTTATAATCAGATGTCAAAGTGTTCTGTACGTGCAGTCTGACAAGTGTTGGAATGAGTTGGTTAGGGTGCAGGGGTTCTTATCCATAAAGTTTTAATAAGTTTATGACCTCTTCGACACTTCTGACCATGTTTTTCACACATTTCCACGAACACTGGCATCATCACCATTTGATAGTGGTTAATAAACACTTGCTTATGATACAGTCAGAATCGTACAATGACTTTGGAATGCCCATGTAAATATAGATCAATCGTACTGCTACGACTCTCGTAACGACTTACGACAGCGTAAGATGAGATGGCTTTGGAACGGGCTCCATGTCAACAGTGTGTTGCACCACTTGCTGAAACATATATTCCACATATCATAAAAGAACACGACACACACAATCTTAATAGCCCAGTTACGTTATCCCTGAAAGGTACATCTAAATCAACGGTGGAAAAATCTTTGGTAAATATGCCTGTTTTATCTCAGAATGCCCGAGTAAAGATAAGACTAGAAGCATTGGGGAACATTTCTCATGTAAGCAGTGACATCATTGGCTGAGGAACGGAATCAGTCGATCTGTACTATAATAGCCTGTTGTATGGAAAACAGTAGGGCAAATCCAACCATGTGTTTTGTAGATGCTGAGCCTATCTAAACACCAGCACTTTAACTTAATGTGTTTTGTCAGCATGGCATGGCAGATTGGCTAGTCCACTTGCAGGAATTGGGGACTGTACCAGTTCCCTGAAATTCCCAGCTTTCTAATTGCCGACCAGCTGTATTTTTCTTCCCCTTCTCATGATTTCTCTCAAAACAAATCTGAACACAAGAGGTTAAATTTGAAATTTTGAAAAGTGTTATTTTGTATCGCCTGTCAGCCGAGTTAGAAGTGTTTGTTCTTCAAGTTGCTGCTCAAACTTTGGTTTCAATTCCTAGATCCAATCCAGCAAGGTGGCCTTAAAAAGACCTGCTTGAAATGGGTATTGTTTGCCTTTGAAATTCAATACGCTTGAATCTGGTATGCTTGTGAACGGCTTAGGAAACAATACGGTTTCATTTGCATGCATCATTTGGGAGGCATCCGGCATTGCAAACCCATCATCAGAAATGCACTCTGTGATTCCTAGTATGTGGAAGAAAAGGGTATTTTTAGATGACTTGCATAGTGCACATATAGAAGCCATAACGAAATCGTTTTATGCATTGCTGGTTTAAAGAGTTTTTGGAAATTGATGTTGATTTTTCCGAAAAGAAAGCGTAACTACACACTTCGGAATTAACAAATGATGAAAATGACATATTGTATACTGGGGAATTAGGACATAAATTTCCATGTCATTGTACGTGCAGAACGTATGGTTAGAAATCATGGCGGTTTGACGGCCGAAATGTAAAGACAATATTCTACAGCCTGCACTTGTCATTGAAAGCAGTAGGGGAATAGTTTAACATTGGGTAACTGTTTCTGACGGGATGGTGTTGGTATGGCAGGAATAGGATACACGACATAAACACACCACAATAAGCCTGTAGCAGCTTTCAGATGTTTGTTCTGCTTCAAAGTTATCCATAAACACAGGGTAATTGGTCTTTGTTAAGAACAGCAATCCTCTCATGACAAAACCATATGTTGATTCTTGGTCGAAAGAATGGTCGCTACAGGCCTGTCAAGTCATTTGGGCTGGACTACAAGTTTCTTTTTGTCTGAAAGAAAATAAACAAAACATATCATAAATTGAAGACTGGATCATTATATGTGACAGGAAAACAGTATGTGCTTTGTTTGGGAATCAGAAACAAACAATCTCCCGTGGAGTATTCTGTGAATTTGGCTCATAAATATAATCAATTACCCCTAAAATTGTAATAAGTTTCTTTTCAACTTTATGGACATTTCAATGGTGGTATGATCAGAGATTAAGACGTCTGGTCGTGCAGTCGGAAATGTTTCAAGATTGTCTGTTCGCCTTAAACACGGTCCAATTAGACTGTTGAGATGGTGAAACAATCACCATTGTTTATGTATTTTGTAAAAGTGCCATGGTAAAAAAAGTCTGTGGAAAAAACTCCCTTGTGAATTTGTATAACAAGCAAGATGTGTGTTTGACACAAGAAACATGTTTTGTTTGGCGAGATAGGAACCTAAGTCCTTCAGTTAGGCAAATGACAGTGTCAACCGTGTTGAAAAAACAGGGTGTATTTGAAGAAGAACACATGATATGATGATTGGATGAGGGAGTGTTGTTTCTAGCCAATCAGCTGCTGATATATCTGCTCGAGTTTCATCCCAGCTGTCATACAACAACTCCATACACCGGAACTGTGTATACTGACTCACCAAAAAATCGAAAACTAACAGAAAAGAAAAACCACAAAATGGCAAAATACAAGCAGACAAACTAGAAGATATCTTTGTTTTCAAACTGCACTCCTTGTTTGAAATAATTAGTGCAAATTTATGGTTCGTCCTAAGCTTATGAAAATTCAAACGGCTTAGTTTTTGCTCGTCTTTCAAAATAATAATAAGATGTTTATGTTCTGCTTGGAGTGCAAGCAGAATCATTTGTGGCATTGGCAGAAAGTGGATTCTGTTCTTGGATTGGCTGAACCGTGGAAGACACACGATGGCCGAGACCTCAGTTTTTGCCTTATCTGCTTATGTATCTGTGAATGTTTTGATAACTTGAGGTGTTGGTAGTTATCTCACTAAGCATGGTGTATGAAGGGAGCTTGGGGTCGTTGCCGGTACTCTCTCAGTCATCTTGTGACATTTGTGATGTTGAGATGTGAAATAGCAGCAGAGTGACAACTTTTAACAGGAGGGGATGGTTGAAGCTGCTGTAGGACATGAAGATGTAGTAACAACAGCAGCAATATCATCAACAGTAGCCATAGTAGCAACAGCAATAGTAACAACAGCAACAATAATGATAACAGTAACAGCAGTAGCTTTAGTATCAACAGAAGCAAAAGTAACAGGAATAGCAGTAGTAACAGAAACAGCAGTAGTAACAGCAGCAATAGTAACAGAAACAGCAGTAGTAACAGCAGCAATAGTAACAGAAACAGCAGTAGTAACAGCAGCAATAGTAACAGAAACAGCAGTAGTAACAGCAGCAATAGTAACAGAAACAGCAGTAGTAACAACAGCAGCAATAGTAACAGAAACAGCAGTAGTAACAACAGCAGCAATAGTAACGGAAACAGCAGTAGTAACAACAGCAGCAATAGTAACGGAAACAGCAGTAGTAACAGAAACAGCAGTAGTAACAGCAGCAATAGTAACAGAAACAGCAGTAGTAACAGCAGCAATAGTAACAGAAACAGCAGTAGTAACAACAGCAGCAATAGTAACAGAAACAGCAGTAGTAACAACAGCAGCAATAGTAACGGAAACAGCAGTAGTAACAACAGCAGCAATAGTAACGGAAACAGCAGTAGTAACAACAGCAGCAATAGTAACTGAAACAGCAGTAGTAACAGAAACAGCAGTAGTAATAACAGCAGCAATAGTAACTGAAACAGCAGTAGTAACAGAAACAGCAGTAGTAACAACAGCAGCAATAGTAACAGAAACAGCAGTAGTAACAACAGCAGCAAAAGTAACAGGAATAGCAGTAGTAACAGAAACAGCAGTAGTAACAGCAGCAATAGTAACAGAAACAGCAGTAGTAACAACAGCAGCAATAGTAACAGAAACAGCAGTAGTAACAGCAGCAATAGTAACAGAAACAGCAGTAGTAACAGCAGCAATAGTAACAGAAACAGCAGTAGTAACAACAGCAGCAATAGTAACAGAAACAGCAGTAGTAACAACAGCAGCAATAGTAACAGAAACAGCAGTAGTAACAACAGCAGCAATAGTAACGGAAACAGCAGTAGTAACAACAGCAGCAATAGTAACTGAAACAGCAGTAGTAACAGCAGCAACAATTGTAGCATTGGGACTTATGGCAATGGCATTAGTTATCATTGTAGGCGAAATAGTTTTTAAATGTAGATGCCACGTTACATCCCTGTTGGCAGTAGCAACAATGTAGTAGTGTTGTAGCTAGCTGATACAGATTGATATCACATGTTTCCGAGGCTTTATGGGGTCTCCTTATCAGACGCTTCCTCTTTCATATCCACCATCAAAGCAGTGTCTTGTAATGTTGGGTACTAATGACCCATCACTCAAAGTCGTTCTCCTCACAAGGGTAGCTGGTGCTTCATGTTCCATTGTTAATGTACACTTCTGGTACATAAACAAGCCTTGTACTTCTCTGCATCCCCACCATATGTTATACCTTGGTCATCATCGCTGCTGTTGCTGCTACTGCTGCCTGTTGATGATGTGTTTGAACACTGCTCGGTTTGCACAATACACGAGATCCGTGTTTCATGACAGTGTACAGAGTGCAAATTGCTTTAAAAGCTGGCTATATAACATCTACTGCACCTGGCTTCTGTTGGCGTGTTGTCAGCAGATGAGGTTGTAGTACAACTAATTCCAGTTAATAACACAGCTCATGTACCTCTTCTAGTTATTATTATGATGATGATGATGATGATGATGCTCATTCTGTGATATGCCAAAATACTGATGATGATTTGGGAATAACAACAACCTTTAAAAAAGACCTACTATTCCAGACATTATTATGAGTAATGATAATTATTATTTACAACAATTTACCCTGTGTGTAATTTTTAAATATTTTATATTTAATAATTATTTAATCCTTGCTAGATGTGTGATTATAAAGGTGCTATTTGTGTTTCAGTTTCGTCAGTTCCGAACCAGGCCCGTACCTCTCCAAAGGCATCGTCCCCGAAGGGCAGTGAGCCTCACAAGCCTTCAACGTCCCCCCAGCTGGCAACCTCGCCCTACCCCCAGGCTCGCCACACCCTGCCCTCCCCACCCACAATGAGACAGACCAGTCCCCACATGCCAGTCCTGGGTTCGACTCCAGGGTGGCCCAGTGGACACATTGCACTGCCAATGAACCACACAGACCAAGATGCACCTCTCAACCTGACCAAACCCAAGCATGAGGCCAAATTTGACCGATTGTCTGACGACCACTTGAGTATGATTCATGGTCGTTCTATCAAGAGGGAGCCTGTCGTCACACCTCCTCCCGCTCACAGCAATCACAAAAGGCAGCATCAGCAACAGCATCAGCATCAGCAACAACATCAGCAGCCAACAGCGCAAACACCACCAACGACAGACATCTCGTCCCTGATTGGGTTGAGATCCCCATTTGGCATCCCTGCTCAGTACATCACTAGCCCATACCTCGGCATCCCAGCACACTACCCCGGTCTCACGCTCGGAGGTCATGCTCACACCCTCAATGGTGCCAAGTCGCCATCCGAAAGTGAAAAAGTAAGGAAACTGTCAAGCATTCATTGTACTGCAGTCACTACTGGAGAGTCACTACTGAAACAATTTTAATCCGTTAGTGTTTTGCAGTTTGTTAAAAGTACATATGCGCCAACTACCCCAATCGTGTTCTTCCTTTTCCTTTTCTGTAGCACTCCTCAATAACTTAGGGCGCGGTCAGGTAGCCTAGTGGTTAAAGCGTTGACCTGGGTTCGATTCCCGACATGGGTACAATGTGTGAAGCCCATTTCTGGTGTCCTACGCCGTGGTATTGCTGGAATATTGCTAAAAGCGGCGTAAAACCATACTCACTCACTCACTTATTAATTAATTAAGCTATAGACCAAATTATTTTTTACTAGACACAGTCTTTAGGCTAGGTGCTTGTGTCAAAGAATACTTGTCTCCATGGTTGTTACTCACTATCAATCTTGAACTATCTACATGTCACCTGACATTGAACGTCTGAAATCTGGACTCATGTGTACATTTTCTGTCTCTTCCCAGGAGAGTTACGTACAGGAAGCATTGGCACGGCAACTAGCGGCATCAGTGAGTGGTCCAGTGTTCCCAGGTCTTCACCATGTACCGCTCTATGCAAGCACGCCATCACCGACGATGCCACAACTAACGCAGTTGAGCGGCGCCAAGGACACCTCCAGCATGCCCATCTCTAATGAAGACAGCCAGAACTACGTTCAGCATCTACAGAGTGAGTCCCTCACCATCACACACCATCTGGTTTCGACATCAAAGCTTAATTCAGATTATCTTGCTAACCATTTCATTTCTGCTGTCAATATATTTTATCAGACCTGTAATTATTCATTTCAGGTAAGATGTTCGGTGCAAAGATTATCCGAGCACAGCGTGAGAAGAACGAGCCAGGGAGACCTCATGTGAAACGGCCAATGAACGCCTTCATGGTCTGGGCCAGAGAAGAGAGGCGCAAGATCCTCAAGGCCTGCCCTGATATGCACAATTCCAACATCTCCAAAATACTAGGTACGTGAAAGCCGATGCTGGTGGTAACAGTCAGTCTCTCACTAACTCTTAACAATTACATTATGTACAAAGATGATTAATCAAATCTATTCAGCATCTGTGTTCGTCTCATACAGTCAGGAGATCCCATAAATCTGCAAGGGAATAAAACTCAGACTGTCTTTGACTACTGGACCACCTTGGTCTGGAAGCAGATTCCAGATATCTATAAATTGTCCTTTACAGAGACTATAGTCACAGCTTGATAAAATCAATCTGTGGCAGAAACAGAGTGATGAGATGGATTCTGTATGATGTTAAATGTGTAGTTTTGTTTCTTCCAGGAGCGAAATGGAAGGCGATGTCCAATGCCGAGAAACAGCCATATTATGAGGAACAATCTCGTCTCAGCAAACTCCACATGGAGGCCCACCCCGATTACAGATACAGGTAAGCTAGTTTCCACACAACTTATATCATATTGACACTAATTCTTTAAGACCTGTGACTTATTAATTCTATGTTTTACATAATTTGATGTTATTTATTCAAAAGCATTAGACATGTATTAATGCTGGTTTTAATTTGAAAGGAATATATTTTGCATTTTTGGTGAACTATTATTTCAGACCAAGGCCAAAGCGTACATGTATCGTTGATGGAAAGAAGCTGAGAATCTCAGAGTACAAAGCATTGATGAGGAGTCGGAGACAAGACGTTAGACGGGTGTGGTACGGAGAATCTGGAGCTACGTATGTTGAGGGTTTACTATGTAAGTGCTTATGTTTAATGATGATTCTAACAGGCTAAATACTACTGACAATGGCTCTTAGTGTCGCATCAGTCTAGTGTGTCTTGTGGAAGTTAACATTGCCAAATCAACATGTCAGTCAGGGAGTGTAGGCTGTTTTAAACGTCACCACTGGTGTCAGTAAGTCAAAGGGAAATAACTCTGTATATGTAATGAAGAGTCATAAAATCTTCACATTACCGCCAGAATTCATCATGTACTCATAACGGGCAGATATTACGTAAATATTTCTTCCAAACTGTCTCTAGTCTTGGACAGACGGATTAGCTGCTGTCTCTAGTCTTGAATAGATGAACTAGTGGGTGTCTCTAGTCATGAACAGAGGGATTAGCTGCTGTCTCTAGTCTTGAACAGAGGGACCAATAGCTGTCTTAAACCTTCATTAACAGCATAAGAATTCTGTATTCAATATTTACAACAGTTGCTTTTTCCCTTTTAGCTTCAGAAGGAACAGGGCCTTCCAATTCCAACTTTGATCCCAGCCAGTTCTTGAAATCTTCGTCTCCAGTGAACAACAGCCTAAGCAATGGTGAAGCCGGCTCCCCTGTTAACAACGGTAATTCCATACACAATGATAAACTCTCCAGCTGGGATGCGGAACATCTTCAGAACGGTGACCTGAACGACATCGACGGTGGTTCCGATGTAAGCATGGACACCTCGTATACCGATGCATCGAACACCAGTTTTGGAACAAGTGCTGTTGCAGAAGAGGTCGCATCAACATAGTTCCCAAGGAATTGTAGTTTACCACAGTGCATATTTAATATAATGTAACAATGGTGCTAGATCTGTTTAGACTCCCTAGCCTGCGTCGTCCATTATGGTTTCTCCTCTCAAGCTGCTCCTGGAGGTGAGAGCGGTTACATGGAGGAGGTGTGGTCTTGACCATTGTATGCCAGAGCACCTGCTTAGAAATATGAACACCTTGTTGTCCTAATACCACAATGTTTGATGTAAAGAAGCCAGGCTTGGATGACATCTCTGAGCAGTGCTTGAACTATCTCCACAAAGCATGTGTTGGCTTGACATGATCATGGCAGGTGCTTGAGCTAGTTCTAGCAAAGAGCACATGCTTGGCTTACCGTCGTAACAGGTGCTTGGACTAACATTGTTAGAGGTCTTGCTTCAAAGACTTCTGGTTTCATTGGCAGCATTGGAGGAATTTCTACAGACTTCATCGAAGCTTGAAACCAAAATCCTTCACGCCTCTGGTCGGAATTTGAGCCCAGTTCCACTTGGAACAAGACTAGCCTACATCTCACTGTGTTGATACGGTCCCATCAGATGGGATGGCGACATCCGTTTACTGATCATGGTGCCACAAACTCCTGCAACATGCGTCCTTGTTCTTCAGACTTATTCCCCAGGAGAGTCCCCTCTGTGCCCATGACAATTCCAGGACGAGCACCAGGCACTGCAATAGGAAAGTTGACCAACGAAACTCACTGACCAGTCATCCACGCAGTCAGCGCCACCGTGCCACCTAGCTCCCGCTTCTAGACGCCTGTATATAGACATGTTAGGCCGCACCTCGACAAGACTCTGTCTATCAGAGCACATGACTTGATACTATCCTCTCACTGTGTAGAAGTGTTCCTGTTGTGGAACACTGTATTACTGGTACGCCATGTATATCTGTAACATTGTATACACTATATGACATTGTATACAGATCGGTACAATATGACATCGTATGCAATACTGCGACGATACTGTATACAGTATATTGACATGACAATGCTGTTTACAGTACTATATCACATGACAATACTGTGTTCAGTACTAATTGATCCGACAATACTGTGTGGAGTACTTATCACATGACAATACTGTGTACAGTACTATATCATTATCACATGACAAGACTTTACAGTACTATATCACATGACAATACTGTATACAATATTTAAACAATGTCTATGCTGCATACAGTACTAATGACATGACGATACTGTAATCAGTATTATAGGACAATACTGTATGCAGTACTTTATCCCATGTATACTGTATACAGTACCACTGACATACCAGTAAGTTTAGGCCTATACCACTGTAATGAGTTCTGACACTGCCTATGGTTTTACTACGCCATGTAAAGACGGTGAAGGCCTTCTGTATGTATTTCTGGGTCCAATATAGGTTGAGGCACCCCCTCTCTCAGTCCATATTGCTGTTGTCCTGTTCCTAGGTTCATGCTTAGCTCTGTTGACCTCTGCCGGTCACTATGATACAGCCCTGTCCATCTGCTCCACCTTTAGGAGAAATAAAATAAAACATGGCAGTAAATGTTTAACTTTTTTTATTTGTTTATAATGAAAAACATTGATACTTCTGTTTTCTCTCTTCAGTGTAATAAGATGATTTTATTCTGGAAATGTTACAGATGAGTGCTTTTAAGAATATATTAATATTATATAAAAATATTTATGAAAATTATACATCAGTATTTTAAAAAATAATTTAGCATGATAAGCCCATTAAATGCATATTATTCTTTCCTTGATATAAGCAATCATATATTCAATTGAATGTGTTAAGATATTTACAGGTGTTTTTTAGGTAGTACTGGTAAAAAAAATCAAAGGTACTCAGACAAGTGTTTATCAGCTCACATTGAGTTTATGTGTAGTTGCAGAGTTTATAGATAATTACTCATTGTGTTTTGAAAATCTTGGCATTTTGGCTGGCATTGATGTTTTTGTTCGTAGACTTTTTGTTTTGTTTTGTTTTGGCTTTGTTAGTGACAGCTGCGGAGGCAGAGTAGATCTCGGGCAGATGGACCGGATGTATGTAGGCGAGGTGCTGTTGTATTTGAGTCCTTAACATCCACAATTTCACTGTTGTCAACGCTGCTGATGTTGAGGGCAAGGGTTTATTATTGTAGAATATTGAGTGCCAAATCTACCTTGTTAAGGTTGCTGATTGTTTAAAGTTTAGTTCTTCCTATCTTTGCCATATATGTGTGATGATTGTTAAACTTTTGAGTAGAATTTAAACCTAGAGTCTTTCTTCAGTATAGTTTGCTCTTGTGAGAGATAGTTTCTCTTATGAAGTAATTTTGTTGAATCTTATGCTGTTAGAAGATGAAGATTATAGCTGGGTTACCTACCTTGGTTTCTGTTGACGACCTTGTTTTCACATGTTGAAAGGTTTATTGAGTGTGATGCAGTGTAAATTTGTTTTGAGGATGTTTGGGAGCAATCCCTTTCAAACACTGCAATTTATTTTGAAGAAGCTGTAAATATGACTGGCATGGAATAAATCGTTATCACATGACTGTGGTATTCTAGGAATTGACGCAATTACCGTGTGTTTCTGGAAGAAATTGACTGAATGCATAATTATAATAAACTAAATGACAAAAGTGCCAAATTTGGATTAATGTATTCATGCATCAACAGTGCACAAAATGTGAATGTTGTTTTAGAAATAGCAGTAAGGGGAGGTAACCCTGATAGATCTGTAATGTGATAGAAATGTGTACATACATAGGTCACAATGCACTGAATGCACTCATCACGGGGCAGTACTAAGTAGATGCTAGACAACCTTCCCCTGCTGTATTGTGCTGAATCTCGAAGGAGGCCTACGTCACTAGAGGCAGTATTGTCCGTCTTCCGTTAATCGAACCTTGTGTAGTTGACACAGTAGATTCCAAGTGTGTATTATGAGTATGATACAATCATGTCTTCCTCGGTGTTGAGTATTGACCAATGGTCAGTCTCATGTGAGTGTATTGTACACACTGGCGGAGATGTAGTTTAATAAGTAGGTTGTTCTCACATTCATCTGTCTCAAGGTATGGACCAATATTCTATTCTCAATACTCCAATAAAACAGATAGCCATGATTGATGACAAATAGTTGTGATGTTCCAACTTAAAAAAAACCATAATTTAATATTTGTTCTGTTTTCAAATACTGAACAGTAGTTTGAACATTTTTGAAATCTACATGTAAAAGATACGAAAATATATCAGTTGAAAAACATAAATTTGTTAACAATCACAGCTACATCAGTAATGGGTATGATTTTGAAGCCATAACTTAAATATATGTATTTTGTTAGTGTTGAGATGTGGAATGAATACAAGTCATATTATCATAGGTTTTTTAACACTTTAACTCTAAGTGAACCATATTACCCCTATGTTATCCTGAGACGAGAGTTATCGTGTTATCTACTGTGCCCGTATCATATCAGTATGTTTATATTCATTAATCGTCATAGTAACCACTAGACACTTGGTCTTGACATAGCAACTATTTATCAACATAGGACCATTATTTATGAAGACAAAATGTCAAATATCTATATGGAGTATCGTGTAGATTAATTAGGAATGGCTTCAGAAGACTGAAACGAGTTATTGTGACTGTGCAAGGTGACACATGTATGTCTGATACGGTGTGTATCACACGGTGTGTGGTGTATATGTCTATAGACAAAGTCATATGTCGCCAATGCTGCTCACAGTTGTATCCATGTATTTATGTTAAAGTGTTTATTGGGCATTGGTGTTTGTGCCCCTACGACTGTCCGCTGTTTGTGGGCTAAATCCTATAACATAATTGTTTATTGACGTACGAGTTTATATAACATGACTTTGTTGACGTGGGTGGGTGCATGATGGTGATGATCTCGTTTTATCGGATGTGTTATTTTTTCTTATGTCTATTCTACTGTACCATGAAATGTATACTAGCATGTGTTGATTATGGTGCCTGTAGATTCCTATATATTGACAAGAAAGAGCAACGACAATTATGTATTTTGAACTGCATTCGAACAAACCAGTTTCATGTTCAACGACAAACTGAAATTGATTTTGAAGTACATCAATGTTCTCTTTTCAATTGGAAATTTGAAACTGATGAAATTTAAACTTTGTTTTGCTCTTGTCGTAGTGTCAGTTCCTTCTCCCATCATTGTGACTTAGTCGATTTCCTTCTGAAAACACATTCCTGGCTCCTTGATAAAATCCCCATGAAAAGCTTCATTCTGTTGTCCGCGAAATTACTGCTGTCACTCCCAGCATCCTCTTCCTCCTCTTCCTCCCAACGTTTCCCGTCACACAATGCTGTCAGAATGTTAATTCCATGACTATCATTAAATATCATTTTATTTGTCACAAATTTGCTCAATTTTATTATTGGTTATTTGTCATAAACTTGTTCAGTTGGAATATTTTCTTTTTTATATTATGCTATTGCATCAAGGTGACGATTTGAGCGTTTCAAAGGGTTATGTTTACTTGTGCATTTCTTATTAATACTGTATTGTATTTGAAACCAACGACCCTGCGTAGAGTGGGTGCATAGACTAATAGTCTGGGTATTATTGTTTAGCTTTAGGCTGCTTAAACTCCACGTTTTATTATAAACCTCCACATTCAACCTTCAATGCCAGATGTAAAAAAAGAAGGACTGTTTCTCAATGTGTTTGAGGGTAGGTTGGAGTCTTGAGTTGTGTGTCTGCTTCTACTGCTATGACAGAAATGAATGCTCCCGTTGGGAGCATTTATTACGCTAGGAGATGTAGTTGTTTTGTCTTTAAGTTATATTCTTTTAATTTTTAATCCCAGTTTTTGATATGTGCTATTGTAGAGCCTCTATTTCATGATTTGTCTCGATGAACGATTTAGTAGTGATTAAGATACCATGACATGTGGCATATTCTGAACCACAAACCATCAGTCACCCCTCAGTTTATAATGGTTCAATCCACTGGAACCATCCTGTCACCCCTTCAGTTTATTATGGTTTGATCCATTCAAACCACCTGTCACCTCTCAGTTTTTCATGGTTTAATCCATTCAAACAACCTGACACCCCTATGTTCATCCCAAAGGAACCATCATCTCTCTTCCTCATTCTTTACTCCAATGATTCAGTTCATCTCAAACACCAGTCCCTGTCAATTATAATTGTTCATCCTGTCAAATATTCATCACCCATATATCCATAATGGAACAGTCCATCTTTGCTACCTTTCACCCCTACTTCAACATGGTTCTGTCCACTGGACAACCTGACACCCCTCTGTTCACAATGCCTGGTTCTATTGGTCAGCTCTAGTCAGCTTTTGTTCTTTAAATGGCAAAATTCAAACTTTTTCACTCACATGCATTTCTGTTGGGTAATGGGCTGGTCCTGATTCATAAAAAATGAACTCTTGTTATTATGTTATATCACGATCAATAAATCATGCGATTTTCATCCAGCTTCATTTCTTTAATTCTGTAATTTATGCTTTTTATTTCATGAAATTACCAATGCCTTTCATAGGCAAACAGAGCAAGTTAGAGAAATTGATGATTAGAAACCAGTAGCAACCAGATGTTGGATGACTCTCATAATTCATTCTTAATATCTAATCTGAAATAATATATCGCATAATGATTGAAAAACTGTTAATCCTTCACATTTATGTCAGTGAAATCTCATATGTAAACCTAAGATCTGATGTAAAGAATTGCTTTATAATATTATCATGAAACCAGTTTTAATTTATTTATATTTTTAGCATAATAAGTGCGATATGAAATCTGTACAGGTTGTGTAAAAAATCATGCACTTAGATATTGAAGAAATGCTAATAGTGTAAGGTCACCACGATCAAAGGTCACATGTATATTTAACTTAAAATACTGCCAAATGTTTTATCTCAATATCCAAGTGTAAATCAGTACTCAGAGGGATAATCCTTTGAGTCCCAAAACAGCATCTGTTCTAAATGACAGAGAATTGTATTATTGTTTTGCATTTTCCAAAAGATTTGTTTACAAGTTTTTCCAAAAAGTGTTCAGCTTCAAATTATAAGCCTCCCTTATGTCAACCCCGAATTGTGTATTTAATTCAATGTTCAATGGTGTACTTAATTTTTGAATGTTTAAATTTTGCGAAGCAACCACGAGTGCTGCTGTCTGTTCTTCCAGTGTTAGGGTTGTCACAGAGATAGCCTAGCAAATACCTCGTTCATCTGAAATCTCAATCCAGTTGCCAAATATACACTCGTTCATGGAACTGAATAAACTGTTTTGTTTTTGTTGAAATGGAAGGTGACCGTTGAATTACTTTTTTAAAGGGGAGCTATGATTGAAGGCGTGTTCCCATTTTCAGTATCGGTCGAGGTGTTGTAATTATTGTGAAACAGACATTGTTCCTATGTAGTTTGATAAACATTACGTTTACATCAATGTAAACATTAATTGTATATAACATCCTAGGACTGCCGATATGTGAGCCTAGCTCCCCTTTAAAACATTATGAAATATTACCTTTGATTCTGGACATATTTTTTCTAAATTGATAGTTTTGCAATCAAAAGATTAAACTTGCCTTCCACAGTAGATCTGGTAATAGTGCTAGATTGGGGCCACTTTAAGGTAATTTCTACCAATGGTTATTTTAATACAGTTTGTGAGAAGGCTCTATTGAGTATACCTTTACTTTAGTAGGTATACACTGCTGTAGTTTCATATACCTGGTATTTTTGTAATGGATAGACTATTTTAGATTTCCATTTCACTTTTAGCGATGATTAAATATATATTTTAGAAGTTCGTATTTGGATACAATGTAAAGGCTTACTGCGTATGTAGACGGCCGCAAAGCACAACGAACAAATGGTCAGAGCAATAATAATCACAATGGATGTTTTACTTTTCTCATATCATACTTCACTAACTTATTTCAAGGTGAAAATGCAGGGTAAACCCTTTTTTAGCAGTGATCAATTTTATCAAAAGTGAAAAAGATAAATGATCAAAATCTGTTTTTTTTAATCTTTGTTAGATAAGTATTTAGATACTTACGTCATGGTGTCATATTGATGTACATTTTTGTCAGTATAGATCATATGAATATAGATTTGACAAGATGTCCCTGTGAACTTTTACAACAAAACCACTTGAGCGTCTACTGTTGAACAAAACTGCTCATTAATGTTAAATTTGTTTAAGTTTAATCGGAATCTTAAATGAATTCTATTGTTTAATAGGTCACAGGTACTTCATGCCAAACTTATGTTAGAATTAACAAACCATATCTTGAATGTTACATCATATCCCACAATCCTTTGTTATCGACCAATCAACACCCTTCATATCAATCATGTGACTGATGATAGCCTCAACTTCACCAAGATGGCGGACTTTTGTTGCGGTCATCTCTCTATGTTAAGTATCCAATGTTGAACATGTTATGTGTGCTTAAGATTAATAACGTATAGTTGTAAGTTATAGATTTGATACGATAATTTTTGTGCAAAAATTGAATAAATCATTTTTATTATACATCATGTGTTTCAGTGCTGTTTGTATGTTGACATCTTGCCCATCATTATGGCTGCTACTTCATCTTCCTAGGAATAAATGTAAAAGTAAAACATCTGAAACCTGCATCACTTTGGGCTTTCCTTCCAAGCTGACATGCCCTGATATAACTTTGATACCATTTAAGGAGGTGTTAAACTCAACTCACTCACTCAGTGAGTGACCCACAGGAAGTGAACTGAAGTTCATGACCTGGGAGGAGTGAGTGAGTGAGTGAATTAGTTTTAATGCTGCTTTGAACAGTATCAGGGGTTGGCACCTTTGGAAGGGAAGCCAAAATTAATGCAGAACATTTAACTTTCTCGTTAAGCTCAGCATCATCATATAGTGCTGATAAACAAAGGATCACAATCAGGGAAACTCTGGGATTTGAACCAATGATAAGCATATCATAGTTCAACAATGGGACACAACTCTGCACAGCTTATTACTACACCCCAGACGACTGCCCATTGAGTGAGTGTGGGCATTGTTTGTGAGACTTGTCTCCATGGGGTAAATATTGAAGAAATTCATTTATAGTAGTCACACACAATTAACTTTTGGAGATCATAACTGGTCTACTGTGGTGATCCGCATCTACTGGTACACTAAAGAGATGACAGTCCTGCCTTCTGACTCTAATGGATGTGAATCATTGAGACAAGTATAACACACTATCCACTTATTCTGACCTTGACTCCTTCAGTGAGACAAGCAGAGCATACTATTCACATATTCTGACCTTGGCAGTGAGACAAGCAGAGCCTACTATTCACATATTCTGACCTTGACAGTGAGACAAGCAGATCATACTATTCACATATTCTGACCTTGACTCCTTCACTGAGACAAGCAGAGCATACTATTCGCATATTCTGACCTTGACTCCTTCAGTGAGACAAGAAGAGCATACTATTCACATATTCTGACCTTGACTCCTTCAGTGAGACAAGCAGAGCATACTATTCACATATTCTGACCTTGTCTCCTTCAGTGAGACAAGCAGAGCATACTATTCACATATTCTGACCTTGTCTCCTTCAGTGAGACAAGCAGAGCATACAATTCATATATTCTGACCTTGACAGTGAGACAAGCAGAGCATACTATTCACATATTCTGACCTTGTCTCCTTCAGTGAGACAAGCAGAGCATACTTATCACATATTCTGACCTTGTCTCCTTCAGTGAGACAAGCAGAGCATACTATTCACATATTCTGACCTTGACAGTGAGACAAGCAGATCATACTATTCACATATTCTGACCTTGTCTCCTTCAGTGAGACGAGCAGAGCATACTATTTTGGTATTCTGACCTTGTCTCCTTCAGTGAGACAAGCAGAGCATACTAATGACATATTCTGACCTTGACTCCTTCAGTCAGATAAGCAGAGCATACTATTCCCATATTCTGACCTTGTCTCCTTCAGTGAGACAAGAAGAGCATACTATTCACATATTCTGACCTTGACTCCTTCAGTGAGACAAGCAGAGCATAATATTCACATATTCTGACCTTGTCTCCTTCAGTGAGACAAGCAGAACATACTTTTCGCATATTCTGGCCTTGACTCCTTCAGTGAGACAAGAGGAGCATACTATTCACATATTCTGACCTTGACTCCTTCAGTGATACAAGCAGAACATACTATTCGCATATTCTGGCCTTGACTCCTTCAGTGAGACGAGCAGAGCATACTACTCACTTATTCTGACCTTGTATCCTACAGGACGACAAGCATGAGATTTTGGTTACCCATATACTTCCCTTAAATCCTACAGGAAGACTAGCATGAGATATTGGTTACCCATATTCTTCTCTTGAATCCTACAGGAAGACAATCAGATTTTGGTTACTAATTGGTAACAGATTGTTGCCCTCTACTCTGTATGAGAGGAAGGAACTGTTGCCCTCTTCTCAGTGTGAGAGGAAGAGAGTTTTGCCCTGACCTCGGCGTGAGAGGAAGAGATTGTTGCCCTCTACTCTGTGTGAAAGGACGAGAAAGTTGCTCTCTACTCAGTGAGAGGAGGAGATTGTCGCCCTCTGTTCGGTGTGTGAGGAAGAGATTGTTGCCCTCTACACTGTATGAGAGGAGGAGATTGTCGCCATCTGTTCGTTGTGAGAGGAAGAGATTGATGCCCTCTACACTGTATGAGAGGAAGCGATTGTTGCCCTCTACTCTGTGAGAGGAAAAGATTGTTGACCTCTACTCTGTGTTAGGGGAAGAGATTGTTGCTCTCTGATGTGTGAGAGAGGAAGAGATTGTTGCCTGCCTGCTCTGTGTGAGAGGAAGAGATTGTTGCCCTCTACTGTGAGAGACGAAGAGATTGTTGACCTCTACTCTGTGTGAGAGGAAGAGATTGTTGACCTCTACTCTGTGAGAGAGGAAGAGATTGTTGCCCTCTACTCGGTGCGAGAGGAAGAGATTGTTGCCCTGTACTCTGTGTGAGAGGAAGAGATTGTTGTCCTCTACTCGGTGTGAGAGGAAGAGACTGTTGCCCTCTACTCGATGTGAGAGGAAGAAATTGTTGTCCTCTACTTTGTGTGAGAGGAAGAGATTGTTGCCCTCTACTCAGTGTCAGAGGAAGAGATTGTTGCCCTCTACGCTGTGTCAGAGGAAGAGACTGTTGCCCTCTACTCGTTGTGAGAGGAAGAGATTGTTGCACTCTGATCTATGTGAGAGGAAGATATTGTTGCACTCTGGTCTGTATGAGAGGAAGAGACTATTGCCCTCTATTCTGTGTGAGAGGAAGAGATTGTTGCCTTCTACTCTGTGTGAGAGGAAGAGATTGTTGCCCTGTATTTAGTTAAAACATCGCCGTTTTCATTCTTACACCTCTCTTTTACAAACCCTGTTTCCGATAACGTTGAAGATCATAAACAAAAACAATCAACGATTCGAATGCCCGTGACGCTGTACGTGAGATCTACCGTCCAGCGGAGTGTGCCTATCCCCGTTACAATACAGTATTTTACGACACTTCATTGAGTTTAACACTGTACTATTCTTGCGTAAAAATTCTTGACAGTCTTTCCATTTTTATAGAAATACTTATTTGCCGCTGAATCGTCGGCCAAGCAAGGAAACAGCTTTATTGGTAAAGGAGGGGTACATTTTAGGGTACCCACAAATGCCAGGTAAATGAAAATGTGCGCTTGGTACTGTTCAATTAAAGACAAGACATTTTATGGATGACTTCTCTATTTGATTATGATGCGATGTTTTGTTTGTTGTTTAACGCCACACTCAGCTATATTCCAGCTATATGACGGCGGTCTGTAAATAATAGAGTCTGGACCAGACAATCCAGTCATTAATATCATGAACATCGATCCACGCAATTGGGACCGACGACATGCATCAACCAAGTCAGCGAGCCTGACCACCCGATGATGCGCTGTTTCGGTACAGATCCTCATACCACTGTCACACATAAGCATAACAGAAGTATGAGGATCTCTCCCGGAAGGTCGCATCACAATAGAATAAAGAAGTTGTCATTTATAAAATATCTTACCTTTACTGTCACTTACCAACTCCTAAAAATGCCAATCAAACAGTTTGTACTGTTATTGATGAAAACATTTCACCGAAACATGGAAGTAAAGAATTTTAATACTTTAACATTATTCACCCGATTACTTAAAACTTTCAAATGTACTAATGTTTAGCACGCTCAAAAACGGGGATGTGCCCCCTGTACGGCTACGGCTCTTGTTTATGTATGTCCCGACTGAAGAAAACCCTATTCTATCCTGATCATAGAGACTATTACCCGTGTTTCCCTCACTGCTGTTACTAATGTGTCAGACAGTTATATGACTTTTCTCAATCGGGAAAATAAAAAGCTTCGTATAATTAGTAAGAAATAGCTCCTATACTACTAAAAAAGAAACGCACAACCAGATTTCTGGTAACGGGAGTAACTCACATTTACTTCACATCTGCACTCGTGAGGATCCGGGTTAGAACTGGTCTTCAGCAACCAAACCATGCTCGGCAAGAGGGCAACTAAGCTTGTGCATGGTAAGAGGCGACTAACGGGATCGGGTAGTCAGGCCCGCTGACTTGCTTGATGCATGTTATCATATCCCAGATCCATGCTCATGCTGATAATCACTGGATTGTCTGATCCAGATTCGATTACTGAACGACCGCTGTCATATAGTTGGAACGGCGATAAACGACACAAACAAAACAAAATATATGCATATCTAGCCTCTGGGGTGATGGGACAACCAAATGGCTGTCGCTTCCCGGGCGAGTTTCGGGTTCAATCCCCAACATTGTTACAAGTTGGTCGTACCGAGGTTCCTACATGTAAGTTCTCGACAAGTAAGCCCACTGCAGTAGTGTTAGACTACTTAACGCCACCTAGATGAGGTGACGTAAGCTACTGGTGAAAGCGTTCACTCGCCACGCCTAAGGTCCGAGTTCGCTTCCCCACATGGGTACAGTGTGTGCAGCCTATTTCTAGTGCCCCGCCGTGATATTGTTTAGACTTTCCAACAGCAGCAAACAGACGTAAAGCCATACACTGAATGATACGTTTGGCAAAGCGTACGCTAGTTTTTGTATCGATATTATCGCGAGATCGAGATCGAGATCGATAAATCACCGTTGAGGTAATATTCCATCTACGGATGTATACTATCAAGAACGTCCATGTTTTGACCTGTCTGTATAAGGCACGCATGACGAGGGGTTGTTTTTCATACCCAGCAGTGACGCAGATGAGAAGAATGTATTCTACCAATTGCAACCTGATTCCACACCGGTGAACCCGTGATATCACAATCTTCCACTTGTGTACTCCTGCATGGCTCGTTAAGAATAACTTGTTATTTTGTAAACGAATTCATCAAACGGTAGCTATGCGTTTAAGTAATGCTAGGAATGTTCTGCAGTATATGTCCTTATATGCTTGAAAACGATGATAATTAAATGATCTGATCTGAAACATCTCTGTATACTC